AATGCAGAGTGGAGACTCAAAGTCCATCTGTAGGCAACTGAACACCCCCTTACTGAAGGGCTGTGGGGAGAAGATGAGCCAATCAGGGTGCAGGGTAGCAACAATGAAACATATAACTTTCCTCTAGTTCTTAAATGCTTCCTCCCCACCCCACCCCCCAATATCCTGATCCCAATTCTACCTTACAAATCTGGCTAGAGCAGAGGATGTATATTGTACAAATAGCAACTGGAAACACAGGGAATCCAGGATAGATGACTCCTTCAGGACCAGTGGTGAGAGGGGTGATGCCTGGAGGGTGAAGGGAATGTAGAATAGAAAGGGGGAACTGATTACAAGAATCTATGTATAGCCTCCTCCCTGGGGGATGGACAGCAGAGAAGAGGGTGGAGGTAGACGTTGGACAGTATAACTTATGACAAAATAATAATAATTTATGAATTATGAAGGGTTCAGGAGGGAGGGGGTGGGGAGGGAAGGGGAAATGAGCAACTGATATTAAGGGCTAAAGTAGAAGGCAAATGTTTTGAGAATGATGAGGGCAACAAATGTACATATGTGCTTGACACAATGGATGTATGTATGGATTGTGATAAGAATAGTATGAGCCCTGAATAAAATAATAAAAAAAAGAATAAAATATATCTCAAAAGTAAAAAAAAAATTACCCTATAGGACAGAATAGAGCTGCTTGTTTTTGTTTCGGAGGTTGCGAATCTTCACAAGAACAGAGAACTTTGCTCTTCTCTTTTTGAACAATGTCCTTGAGCCACGGACTCTGCAGTGAGCGGGCCCAACACATAATCAATCCACTGTACCCCAAAGGCTCCTTCACAGGGAAATTATCAACTCGCTTCCATCAAGTCAATTCTAACTCATCGTGAGCCTGCAGCATAGAAGAGAACTGCTCCCCAGGGTTTCTGAGGCTCTAGATATTTCTAGGAAGAGATAGCCTCATCTTTCTCTTGTGGAGCAGCTGGTGGTTTGGAACTGCTGACCTGGAGTTAGTAGCTCAAAGCCTAACTCACTATATCGCCAGGGCTCCTTTAGAGGGATGTTAGCAGGATTCGATTCTTAAGTTATGGTGGGAGACTACTGTTCCCTGGGCTCAAATATTAAATATGTATGTCTGTGTATATGTTTATTTCAATCTCTCTATGTACTTCAACTTGCCTTGACTACAAATAAATAACAAATATTTCCTTATATGGAGAAAAGATGTTCTAGATGAAGATAGGTAACATGTACAGACGGAACATGAAGACAAAGGGAAACCCTACCGGTCAGTTATGCTCTCTCTGAAATAACTTGGTGTTCTAGCATTTTTATTTGTTTGTATATATTGTTTATATATATATGTATGTTTATGTTGTTTAAATTTTTCAAAATTCCCAAGGTGATTATTTTCTAATTTTGTACTGTACTATAATATATGCCAAATGTTTCCCTATAGTTTGTTTAAATGATATTTAATACTGAGTTAGTGCTTTTCATCTTTAGGTCAGTTTATAATTACTCTTCACAACCCACAAAACACGTAGATATCTTATTTCCACTTTGTAAGTGTGCAGTCTGAGACATAGAGAGAGTGATTGAATTTTTTCTAGCCACAGCCTTAATGATAGAGTGAGAACGTGAATTAGGAAGCCTCGGCTTCAGCTCTGTGTTAAAGCCATTAGCATTGGCTCATTGCCATTTTCTTACCCCAAAAACCAGAAAAGCAAAAATCCCTTCATAAACGTATCTATCTGATTAAAGTAAAATTTAATGTGATAAATTTAAATGTCTGAAATCTAAAAGTAAACATGTATATTTTATTAGTTACTATTCTTACTATTACTATTCTTACAAAAATTTTTTTTTTACTATTACTATTCTTAAAAGTATTATTTATTTCTAAAGTTTTATTTTAAAGTATGATTCTCCTTTTATTGATTTGTACTGAATTACAAATTATAAGTTATTTCCAATGTCATGTATAGGAAGAAAAAGAATAGGTAATGACACTAATTTTCTGTGTATAAAATACCACCTTTATAAAACACAGAAAGCTATTTAAATTCTGAGTAAGTTACTTATGACATTTTCCAAAGATATATTTATACATATGTATATATAGATATATATACATTGCTTTAAAAATAATCCGACTTTTGAGTTCAAGCAGGTCTATCTAAACTAGTAGGCAGAAAACATGTAATTTGTGTCAGCATGCAACAGTTATAACATTTGAAATGTTAGTAAAAACAGGATTTCTGTGCACATGCTAGCATGGCAAATTGACAGAATCTATGTTCTAATTTACAATGCTTTATTGGCCTGTGAATGTACTCATGTCAATGAATTATAATGAGTGTTTTGCTGGCTAGATAATGTCATTGTACTTTGCACTAGAGTGAATGCATATAGTAAATTGCATACAGCCATGGTACTGAACTCTCATTCCCATCAAGTTAATTCAGACTCATAGCAACTCTGCAAGAGAGACTAGAACTGCCTGATACGGTTTCCAAGGTTGAACATCATTTCAGAAGCCACGTCTTTCTCCCACAGGGTGGCTGGTGGATTTGATCTGCTGATCTTTATTAGCAGCCAAATGCTTACCCATTGCACAACCAGGAAGCCTTAGCTATCTCTAGAGCGCTCTATCAACTTTACCTTTGCTCAGAAGCAGAATAAAAATAAAAGTAGTATTCTATTTCTCTTTTTGTGCTACATGTGTTACTTAGGAAATCTTAATGTTCCCATTGTCAGTATTCCAGAAATGATACTAGTAGAAGGAGATGTATTATCATAATTAATTATGTTGCATGCTATGATAGCTATATGAGTATTTTAATGGTCAGGAATTGTGGGAGGTAAACTAGAGGAACAGTGTGAATACCATAAATATGAAGATGCATATAAACTAAAAATTACAGCCAGTAAGAACAATTTAAACAGACAAATATGAAAATTAAGATTGAGTTGACTTATCAAACAGGTGCATCTTTATAACTTTGTATAATAGAGCTGACCTGAATGTGAAGAATTAAAAAAAACCCTCTTATTCTTTTCTTCCACTTATCCTTGAAATCATCCTTTCCAGTTTATGTTACTGTTGCTAGGTGCCCTCGGCTGGTTCCAATGCCTAGTAAGCCTGTGTACAACCAAGGGATGCGCTGCCCGGCTCTGTGCATCCTCACAATTGTTCTTATGTTGGAACTATTGTTGTAGCCGCTCTGAGTTCTCAGTAACTGGCCTTGTTATCTGTCGGGTTTTCAATGGCTCGTTCCTCTGAAGTGGATAGCCTATTTCGTCTTGTCTGAAAGCTCTGCTGAAACTGCTTCACTTTGGGGTCCTGACTGGTCTTTGAAATATCAGAGTTAGAGCTTCTAGCAGGAGAGACAAGTGGTGAACAATTTTTTAATAGTTTTTATTAGGGGCTCATACAACTCTTATCACAATCCATATGTACATCAATTGTGTAAAGCACATTTGTACATTCATTGCCCTCACCATTCTCAAAACATTTGCTCTCCACTGAAGCCTCTGGCATCAGCTCCTCATTTTTCCCCTCCCTCCCTGCTCCCCACTCCCTCATGAACCCTTGATTATTTATAATTTACTATTTTGTCATATCTTGCCCTGTCCTACGTCTCCCTTCACCCTCTTTTCTGTTGTCCGTCCCCCAAGGAGGAGGTCACATGTAGATCCTTGTAATCGGTTCCCCTTTTCCAACCCATTCTCCCTCTACGCTCCCAGTATTGCCACTCACACCACTGGTCCTGAAGGGATCATCCATCCTGGATTCCCTGTGATTCCAGTTCCTATCTGTACCAGTGTACATCCTCTGGTCTAATCAGACTTGCAAGGTAGAATTGGGATCATGATAGTAGGGGTGTGGGGGTAAGCTTTTAGGAATTAGAGGAAAGTTGTATTTTTCATTGTTGCTACATCTCACCCTGCCTGGCTCATCTCCTCCCCGAGACCCCTCTGCAAAGGGATCTCCAGTGGCCTACAAATGGGCTTTGGGTTTCCACTCTGCACTCTCTCCCTCATTCACTATGGTAAGATTTTTTTGTTCTGATGATGCCTTACACCCTATCCCTTCAACACCTCGTGATTGCACAAGCTGGTATTCTTCTTCCATGTGGGTTTTGTTCCTTCTGAGCTAGATGGCCTCTTGTTTACCTTCAACCCTTTAAGACCGCAGACACTGTATCTCTTGATAGCTGGGCACCATCAACTTTCTTCGCCACATTTGTTTTATGCACCCATTTGTCTTCAGCAATCGTATCATGGAGGTGAGCACCCAATGGTATGCTTTTTTGTTCTTTGATGCCTGATAACTGATCCCTTCAGCACCTTGTGATCACACAGGCTGGTGTGATTCTTCCATGTGGGCTTTGTTGCTTCTGATCTAGATGGCTGCTTGTTTACCTTCAAGCTTTTAAAACCCCAGATGCTATATCTTTTGATAGCCGGGCACTATTAGCTTTCTTCACCACATTTGCTTATTTACCCGCTTTGTCTTCAGTGGTAGTGTCAGGAAGGTGAGCATCATAGAATGCCAATTTAATAGAAGAAAGTGTTCTTGCATTGAGGGAGCAATTTATAGTAACTCTGAACTCATGGGCAAAAGATACAGATTACAATACCTTACTTTGCTTCATAGTAATAATATTTTACAATTATTTTCAAGTGAATTACAAGAACATTATGGCAATTGAAATGTAAGATGAAGGAATTTATACTTTTTACTAAACTGTAAGATTCCCGAGAGTAGATTACAGTAGAGGTGAACCTCTTCCATCTTACACTTTAATTTGACATAAGACAAATCAGTTATGAAATTGTAAGCACAACAGTAAATTTGAAATGATCCAAAGGAACAGTAGGTATGAGATTAAGTCAAAGAAGGGATTTGAAGTAAAATAATATCGAATAATAACATATTCAATATATACATATCTGTGTATGTAAATGCAGATTTTCATAAGGCTTTAAATGAGACCTACTTTCTCATAGTACTTGATCTCGTAGTCCAGAATGGCTCCACTGGAGAAGGCAGGCGCTTGCCATGACAGGGCAATGCTGTTTTGGGATGCCCAGTCCTTCCTTACCATTCCTATGAGAGAAGGCGCTGAAATGAAAGAAAATAACAGAATTAATCGGCTGAAATGCTTTTCTGCAGCATTTTCTTTACTTTTTTTCTTCCCAGGAAAACCATTCTTGTTGAAGGGGACACTGGTTGCTGATGATGTAGGATCAAATCTATTCAATTCTAATAAAGTATCAAACTATATTCAGAAACATTATTAGTGATCATAGAAAAAAACCTAGATATGATAAAAATAAAGAGCCTCTTTTAGTCTTCTTAGAGAAGAGTACTTTTCTTTAAACTTAAAAAAAAATTACAGCTATGGAATTAAAGTGTAATAAACTCAACTCCTATATTTTACTAAGTTTAAATCTATTGTAGAAAAAATTCTACAATTACAGGATCTTCTACAGGGTTTATTTCCATTCAATACAAAAGCTTATTACAGAAACCTCTTAACCACTATAAATTACTGCTGATCAATGTGCAGATCACGTAACTTACATGAGTCTTGTAACAGGTGACTAGAATTGAAATATGTAACTACTGATGTTTCTTTTTAGAGTAATGTCTACTTTATTTTACTTGTGTAAATTATTTAATAATGCAAACTTAAGATTATTTTCATCAAATCTTTCACAAAATATTTTTTAAGACAGGAGTGTTTGACAATAGATGCTAAAATTCACATTTAAAAAGGGAAGTTCAGCTATCCTGAGATATCACTTCTTACCTGTAATAATGACAAAATTGCAAAAGTTAAATCACATGCTCTACTGGTTATGCATTAGAGAATAACCTTTTAAATACACTTTTTAACACATTTTGCTGGTGGAAGTACAAAATGGTGTAACACAAAGTAAAATTCAGCAATTTGAGATGAAATGAAATATTCATTTACACCTAGAGTTTTTGGTATCTATCCTATAGGTATACTGCGTAAATACAAAGCTACATATTTACCCAGCTGCCAACTGTTCACTGAGATTTATTTGTAAACTTAGGAAATAAATGAAATAAGCACGGTGGAAAATGTATACAATACTTTAAGGCTGCCCCAAAGAGATGTGATGTAGACATTCCACTAAGTGAACTGGACCCTGTCTCTAACACACTTGTAACCTGAGGACTTAAGACTGAACATTCATGGTGTTTGAAAAAGCAGAAGACAGTTATACCAAGATTGTTGAACTGTTGCTAGACAGAGAATCGTTGACTTATTATGTCAATGCCCTTATGTTGTAGTAGGGTATATATTATTCTGGCAAACCTGTGACTGACATTCTCAGTGAACAAGAAAATCATTCAGGTATTTTAATATGAAGTTAGCCTACACTGGCTCAATCTCTCTCTCTCAACAATGTTTTAAAAAAGGAGTACCAGGAGCTAATCAAAAACTAATTAATGGAATAAGTTTATGCCCTATGAAGATGATAAAAAATATCTCTACCATAAATTAGTAGGGAGATCTCTAAAGGGAGGCAAAGACACATAAAAAAACAGAGTCAGAAATGGATTTGGGTCTACACTAAATCCTAGCTCCAATTTAGCAACAATTAGTTCTTACATCATGGCCCTGTTTTATACTCCACCTCATTAATGTAACATAGAAGATATGGGCGCAATAGCAAAGTGTGGTGAAGACATTAGATGGTGCCCAGATATCAGATAAAATAGCGTCTGGGGCTTAAAGGCTTTTTTTCAAACAAACAGACATCGGAGTGAGGTGTATGCTTGTTTCCAAACATACGGACATCTAAGTGAGATGTCAACTAAGTGCACATGTAAGAAGCACACCAACATCAGTGACCCAAGGATTGTAAATAATATAATCCAAAGAGGAAGGAGGGAATAGCATTAGAGCCTAAATTGTGATATTCTGGTTTGCAGAAGGCTATGGATGACAGTGGAAGCCCAAGATATATTGATGAGCTCTGCACAGTAAATGAGCCTCAGGTGATTTCGCTGTATGGCTAATAGCGGGATGAGAAGAAACTGGTTACCAAACCGAGTGCATTGGAGAGTTGAGTATAGGAAATTAAAATGATAAACCGGACTTGAATGGCTAAAACGTTATCAGTTGATGCTCCCTCTGATGCACATTGGGCCTTACCTGGTTTTCAACATTTTCTCTGTGTGTGCGTGTGTGTGTTTATTTCATATTGGGCTTTATCGCAAATGTATTTTGTCATTGGTGGTAACCCTCTTGAGAATTTTTGTTACATGTGTCACAATATATAAATCCCAGGATTGATGAGCCCATGGAAATAACAAGTACTATAAGGGCTCCTGGCGAGTACAGTAGGTGGGAGGGTGAGAGGGTAAAGGCGATACGATGGTAAGGTTCAAGATGGAAGAGAATGTTTTGAAACTAATTATGGTAGTGATGGTACACTACTGCTGGATGTGATGGAACTATGGAAAAAATAAAATATCTATATTAGCTCCCATTAAAGTGGTTTTTTGGGGAAAATACTGTAAGAAAAAAATCTAAGAATAAAAAATAATGTTATTCTAAATGGTGTGAGGTAATATATTGGATAAGACAGGGATCAAATTAGACTTCTACAAATATACTTTGTTAATATACTTTGTATCTCTGTGCCTATCTTAAATAATTAGCCAACACTATTTTTAAACACACCTCAAAAATGGTAAAGAAAATAAAACAAACCTATGAAGTGAGTTGAAAGTATAACCAGAAAGAAGAGCTATTAAATTAAAACATGTCATTGACCTACCCTCACAACAGGATCTATTCTAGAGGCCTCTCACGCTCAACTCTTGCACACCGTCAATGCTGATGCTAGCTGTCTGAGAAGACCGTTTAGAACCTCGCCTGTGGACTCCTGAGACCGTAAATCTTTATAGGATTAGAATGGCTCATCTTTCTCCTGAAAAGTGCCTGCTGGTTTAGATCTGCTGACCTTGCAGTGAGCAGCACAGCACATAAAAAATAAATAGATAAACAATATAAAAATATTAAACCACTTTTAGCAATCATAGGGGTGGAGTAATATTCTTACTGTAATTCTGACTGTGGCATGTGTACTGAAGAATAAAGAAAATGAATATTGGGGTTAAACAGAACAAGTATTGTTTCTGAGAGAGAGCAATGAACATAAATAAAAATCCAACAGTAAATTTTAATCAGAAGTATTATTATGAACTCATGATGTATTTCTAATCTGAATTAATATCCCAAATCCAGTTGATAATAAGATTAGAAAAAATAGATTTGTGTGATTACAATGAATATAGTTTAAATTCTATGAATGATCTAATCGTTGAATTTCATACTTTATTTCTAAATATTGTTTTTTTATCTTATATATATTCTTACATTTGTAGGGACAAGTTCAGTTTCTAGAAATAAGTTTTTAACAAACTGTTTTTAAGTCTGGGTGTGAAATGAAAGCCTTATTGTTAGACTAAAATATAATCTTAAATGAATAATCAGGGAAATTGTTAAGAAACAGAAGAGTTTCTTTCTATGAGCTAACTCACAAATGGATAATGTGATAAATAAGAGTAAGAGCTCAGATAATTCACTATTTAAATTTAATCACATTCTCTATTAATAAGCCACCATTAATAAATGTATCCCTGTAGGAAATTGCATTAATGTTCTTGAATTATAATGCAATAATGTATTAAATGGTGCTTTATGGAAAATTTATAACTTTAAAGTAAATTATACAAATTAGACAATGATTTAAGCCTATCAATTTAGTACAATTTTTGAAACTGTCCTTATTTACATGCTTGATTTTCAGCATAATGTATAGTATCATACAGCAATATTACCAACGTTTACATTTTGTCTCATAATTACTTTGTACTCCAGGCTAACAATTTAATCCTTGTAAAAATATAAGAAATGCAATTATGACAGCAGCATAGTAGAATGATGATTGGGTAAAATATAAGTATTCTTTTCTAGCTTCAGCTTTCCAGGGGTTAAATGATTGTGCCGCTTACATCATTTAAATGGTATGGGTCCTCTTGACTGCTGACTGCTAGGTCAGCGGTTGAAACCCATCAGTGTTCCTTGGGAGGAAAATGAGACTGTCTACTCCCCTAAAGGTTGACGGTGTCAGAATCCTCACAGAACAGCAGCACTGCTATCAAGTCTCTGTGAGTTGGTAATGAACTCTACAGCAGTGGGATTACCTCATTGTGTAAACTTCTTCACTTATTTATAACGAAATCCTGAAATGTACTCATTTATCCCTTTCCAATATAAATATACACATTTTACATATGATGATGTACATAATTTGAAAGTTTATTTATTTTGACATACTCACTCCTATTCCATAGCTTCATATGATTTCCATAATGACTAACACTCAATTATGTTGTCACTTTTCTAAGTGATTCTTCTAATAATAGGTGTTGAAGTTTTCAATGTTGTACCATTACAGCCGCCATATTTAAAGATTTTAAAACATTATTAAAATTTTATAAAGAAAAGTTCTGTATGTAATTTTGATATTCTGAGCCTTATAATACCATATTATTTTTTTATACCTGTACCGATAGACACAGGCATACCTTTTAAGTAATTGCTGAGTTCAAGCCAATGGTGTGGGAAAGAAATCATGATTATCCTGTACCTCCATGAAGGCGCCCTTTTGGTGTTGTGGGTTAGGCATTGGGCAGCTAGCTACCTGAGAGGTGAGCCATTCAAATCCCGCAGCCTCTTCACAGGAGAAAGATGAGACTGTCTATGCCTCTCTCAGAAACCCTCTCTTGGGTTGACCTGTGTCTGAATCAATTCATGGCAATGTCCAGAAACCTGAGACTGTATGACATTTATTTTAAAAAGAAGATTCCAAGTAAGAAACATTATTACATGTTTCATTGCGTATCTTCAATGGATTTGTTTTCTTACTATCTCAATTGTTTGGAACTCCTGGATGTGGCCTATTGTGAAAGTATTATAATAGCAATGAATATAGAGCAGAAAATATAAACATTTACTCTTATTCTTCTTCAGAGATTTTTAAGATGCAGTAGGACAATTACTGATTGCAGCT